ATACAAAAGCATAGCGGAGACGATTTTGAAGTAAAAGTCAATATCCTTGCACAGGAGACTAAAACACCAGCGCGGAAACTCCTTGAGGCTTTTTGGATAAATGCCAAAAACCCTACAATGAATAGCAGGGATGAATGCCCGGAGGTCATACGCGACCTGATCCCGTACGTTCGCATCGATTTTTGATGTGGGATGGTGCAGTCGTCAACCACATGCGACTATAATCAGCTGTTCTAAACTTCCTCATTGGAAGTCACGAAAAAGCGGTGGGTTTTTTTTTTCGAGAAGCGTCAACGTCAGAAACGTCAGCTAGCGTTGTATTGTATTGTTTTTCTATGGAAGTAAATGCATGCTGTTTAAAAACCTCGCGATTGCTGAACAAGAAAACGACCCATCCCCCTTTCTTTTCTGCAGTCTTATAATTTCTTCATATGTCTGGTGAACAGGGTTCAGATATCTAGGTTGTCCGATTCTTCGACATACCTCTGCCACCAAGGCACGTCCTCCTCGCGAGTCTCGTGGGCGTAGAGCGAGTCGGGCTCCGGCTCTGCGCTCGGGCTCATCCTCAAAACAAACATTTCCATTTGGGAGCATCGTCGAAAACGGATATCTAAGTCTCAAATCATTTCGAGTATTCAGCTAGTCAATAACAATAAAAGTTATTTGCCAAACAGTTTTCCAATTATCGATGTCTCTTTAGTAAAATGGAAAAGTACGGTATGTATCTACGTCTAAGCCCTATAAAAACATGACGGGATGAGCCGGAAAAGCCAACAACTGTAGGAGACCTTTTGTACTGAGATTGAACACATAGCACGATCGTACGATTAGATGAGAATATTCCGTGAGGTGAATAAAGTTAGAAAAGCGGACTTAATTCAATGTCAGCCAAGCGTGATATTCAATAATTGTCCATTATAGAGAAAGTACTTGACTATATCACTTTTCTGAAATGTTACCCTCACCTTAGAAAATCCAAATTTAGCTTAACATTTACACAATAGCACTCTTTACAAATTTTGAACACGGACACAACATAGCAGAACATCAACGAAGCATTCGACACCATCGAGTAACGCTAACGCAGACTTGCCTATCCTGCTTGGCTTTGCTGCTTGAAATAGGAGCCCACGCAAAAAGGTAGGTAAAAAACCGCCTACAGACTTTACAGGCCTAGAGTTTCATAGTGATGGATGAAGTAAAGGTTTATCTCGTTACCAAAAGATCTGCATGTTCTAATAATTTTCCAGCTAATCAACAGAGATCGCTGTGAGATGAGATATGCTTCTTGATGCTGAGTCGCGATCACTCAGTAGCTCAGGATGAATCTAAAGCGCTGTGTAAAATTTAAATCTAGCGTTAAAACGCCATACAACTAATTTTCTTCAGTGCTAAAAGTCTTTGTTTTCCACTCCATACTTTTACAGCTAGTAGCTCAATATAAGAGATTAAGAGCAGAACGAAGATGAAAATAGTGTCATATCTGTTTTTAACTTCATCACCGTTTTGCTAGGTCTTCTTATCACGGCTGGTAACTCCTTCACTAACTGCTAATGCACTGGTGAGCAACAACATGGTGGCCGAGCAACAACGTGAGGGACGGGACGGACGCAGTGACGGAGAGGCCTGGAGTCGACGAAGAAGATGGTGTGCGTCGAGCAGCACACGTCGACACAGTTGCTAATTAAGCACTGCACTGGCGCAGTCACTGAGCAGAATCGATATGCTCGCCAGCCGGAGCCGCGGACGTCGGATCGAAGCCGGCTGGATGGCGAGCTCGAGGCAGATCGGAGAGACCATCGCAGGCGACTGACATTTTTATTTATTCCCACCACAGGCTGTTGAAGAAACAAAAGATTACGTGAAGCCGGTATCTAGTGCTGGTTGGATTCTAGGACAATTGGCGCGTTTCCAGGCAGTGGAAAAGAGGTTAAAGCGTTCCAGTGAAGCCAGGAGTTCCCCCTTAGCCGCCAATAGACTAGAGGGATTGGCATCTATCTTCGTTGCGTGGGTTCGAATTATAACTTTTGCGTGTGTGCTATCCAATTTCATATGTCTTCTTCATATGCGTGGCTCTGCGTCCACATAAGATGGTTTGTATACCTGATTTCGATTCCGCGGAAATCCTGTGGTGAAGTACATGGCACCTGCATGGAAGAAGGTTCGGATTCATCTCTACAAATAAGCAGCCCGTCTATTTTGCGGTTGATCGCAGTTCTCCTCGTTCATGCCAAAAGCGTCTAAAAACAAAGGGTCTGATTTCCCTTAATTCAGAAAGTTCAAAAAAAGAGTCTCATTTTCCTGACTGAGAAAGCTCCCATAATAGTTCCCATGATCGACTTTTTCTTAACCTCGGCATTGGAATATGAATGTGTCGTTTTCTTGTGACTTTCTTCTTGTGACTACTCTACTTCGCCAATTAGTTCGCAACCGCCTGTATGACCGTCTTTGTGGAACAACAAATTCCGTAATTTGCCCTTACGGCAGGGACGGTGATTGCATGAGTTCAGGTACGATATACCTGATCTCGTGTAACAATTGCGGAGATGAATATATTGGCGAAACGGGCAGACCTTTGTGTATCCGTATAAAAGAACACCTAGATGGCAAACGAAAACTAAGACGAAGCACCCCACTAGGCACGCATAGGATACAAAAGCATAGCGGAGACGATTTTGAAGTAAAAGTCAGTATCCTTGCACAGGAGTCCAAAACACCAGCGCGGAAACTCCTTGAGGCTTTTTGGATAAATGCCAAAAACCCTACAATGAATAGCAAGGATGAATGCCCGGAGGTCATACGCGACCTGATCCCGTACGTTCGCATCGATTTTTGATGTGGGATGGTGCAGTCGTCAACCACATGCGACTATAATCAGCTGTTCTAAACTTCCTCATTGGAAGTCACGAAAAAGCGGTGGGTTTTTTGGAGAAGTTGTTGATCGTGTAATTACCAAAGAGTCTTTCGTCTTTGTGTAAGTGTTATTGAAGCGTTTGGCCTAGTGGATTGTATATCAGTAAACCCTTCCAGGCTCTGAAGAAGGCGATACTGCCGAAACGTCAGCTAGCGTTGTATTGTATTGTGTTTTTTATGGAAGTAAATATACGCTGTTTAAAAACCTCGCGATTGCTGAACAAGAAAACGACACATTCATGCTCCCATAATACTTCAACGCTGAATAGAAGGAGCACAGAGACAACGACAAAACCTTAGAGTCACTAAGGCTGCCTAAATCTGAAAGTATTATAGTGAGCGTCTGCATTTAAAGCACGTACACGATGGAAATACAAACGACCACAATAAGGCAATGGCTTATACGTTCAGGTTTTAGAAACAGCGTACGCTAGAATCCCACACTCAACACATTTTTCAAACCGACCGTCATTTAACTTCGGTAGTAGTAATTAATACCTTCTCGGACCTATTTAAATGTTCTTACGAACCGTTCTTGTTGAGCTGAGGCGAGATAAGTGTAAGTTGTCGTTGTTGTTGTTCTTGTTTGATGGCTGACGTTTCGACAATTTCGCCTTCCTCAGAGCCGTGCTGTTGCGAGTGGGACCTTCTTGGATTCTTAAGCTACTGTGGACCGTTGAACATCGACTCGAGATCTTCGAAAAATTCTAGAAAGATTTCCCTGAATCTGAAAAGTTCAAGGGAGAGTTTTCTGAATCGCTATTAGAAACTTCAATGCCAAGGCTGTTTTCACAGTTGTGCCTGAGGGTAACAAAACTTCATGAATACTAATGATTTAAAATGGAACGGAAAGAATGAGGGTCTATTTGAGTTTATCATAATACTTACTTGGCTACCTATACGGTCCGTTTTCACGAGTTGTGCGAACCCTAGCACATTTGCTATTTGTTTCTTTCCCTCGCAGTCGTTGTCCACGGTGGTAGTTTCGTTCACTCATCGTGGCGCGTGCGAGTTTCATACGGTGATCTGTAAAAAAATTGCAACTACGAGTATAGCCGACTAAATTTGGTTACGAACACGTCCGCCCAACGTGTAGGCAACCGTCTTTGGGAACGCTTGTGTTCTCATGGAATCCACTCTACAGCTCTTTTCGTCCATCTGTCGTCCGTTTTTCCCATTACGTGACCGGCCCGTCAATGTTTCGCTGTCGATGTATATTCTCATGGATCTCGAAGATGTGACAGATTTCGAAGCTCAGAGCTTCGCATTCCGGCTAGATATTGAGAGTGCCGGTTATATTTCAGAAGACAACACTCAAACGCTCTGTGAGTAGTGCGAAGCATTCTTGATGTGGTTGAAGTATCAACCCACGTCTCTGCAGCATAAGAGAGCACTGGGAGGACAGCAGAATCGAAGTGATGAACGCGGATTTTCGAGTCGCTCAGTTGGTCGATGGCTTCCTTGATAGGCCCGAATGCTGCCCGAGCTGCTCTCCTTCTTCTATCTAGTTCCTCCTTCATGTTATTTTCCATATTCATTAATCGCCCAAGGTTTACGTACGAGGTGGTCTCTGCAATCAGAGCCATCTAATTCAATTTTTTCGCCTTGGCACCATGGATTTTTCATTAACTGGGTCTTCTTTCGATTTATGCACAGTCCAATTTTTTTCCCGCTTCGTTGAGCTCGTTGATCATCATCTCTGCTTCGCTAGTGCTCTTTTAAAAGATGACAATGTCGTAGGCAAAACGAAGGCTTGATATCAATTTTCCATCAATACGTATGCCTTTCTCATCTCTATCGAGTGACTTCATTATCCACTGCAGTGAGGCACTGAACAGCTTTGGCGAAATTGTGTCGCCCAGTCGAACCCCTTTTCCTATGGGTATGGTAAGAGGTCAATTGAAAGGCTGTATTTTCGCAGCGCAATTTCCATAACAGTCAGAGAGAATTCTCATGTAGGACGGGTCCACTCCTTGGTCGACGAGCACTGATGGGATTACCTTCGTTTCGGCACTGCTAAACGCTTTTTCGTAGTGGTCAAAGATAAGGACTAGAGGCAGCTGGTATTCTCGACAAACTTCAGTGAACCTGGAAACAGTTTGGATGTGGTCCATGCAGCAAGATCCTTGTGGAAATCCTGCTTGCTCCACTGGTGGTGCCTTATCCAATGTCTTTGATATGCGCGATAAGATAATGTTTGTGAAGAGCTTGTAGAGAACACTCAACAAGCATATAGGACGGTAGTTCCGAAGACCGCTTTGGTCGCCCTTCTTGGGCAGGTTTGAGGGCAGGTAGTCGTCATATGGTTTGCGAGAAGCACATGTAAATTGCGACTTAGCTCTAAGGAAGTCTGCAGTGATATCATCTGGTCCTCGAGCTGCGCCTGTTTTCATGCTTTCTATCGCAATTCGAACCTCCGACGGAAGAATTCCAGGTGGTTTTTCTCCAGCGGGGATATTAGGGCCCGGGATGGGGATTGTGGAACGGAAAAGGTTTGTGTAGAACCTTTCCGCTATTAATTCCATATCACGGCGTGAAATTTTGACGATCCCATCTTCGTATGAAGTGCTGAGATACCTGCAAAACTCCGGACCACAGGTGTATGCAGTGGGGAACGAACACGCGCTGTTGTCCTTACCGGGGAGCAGCGCACTTCACCACTACACCATCCGGGTCCGGATACGTCTTCTTTGATCCTTTGGATAAAATTTTGCTTACTTTTGGACACGATTTCGTTCAGAATGTTCTCGTCATATACAGCTGGACTTTTTTTTCACGTGGTTGATGACATGCATTCTCCGGACAACAGCGCGTGTTCGTTCCCCACTGCATACACCTGTGGTCCGGAGTTTTGCAGGTATCTCAGCACTTCATACGAGTTATATTTCACAACATACCCTGCCATTAAGAAGAAAAAGGCAGTAAATAAAAGAGTTAAGATTGTGATCCCATCTTCGTTCATCAGGGCCGACAGCGGAACATTATAATCACGCAAGTCCCGACGGTGTTTTTTCAGACTGCTTCTTTTCTCTGCTGCTTCCAGTATTTTCTTCTGCCTGTACCGTTGTAGATCTTCCTGCAAAGCTCTTCTGCAGCTGGCATTTATTACTAGCCATGAGAAAATTGTTGCAGTAGGATCAAGCTTCAGTCTCCCTCTCTTGTGTAGCAACTCCTTAGTGGTAATGGAGATGCTATCCGATCTTCTTGTTTGGTAAACTGAGGCAGATTCGGTACAGTCTTTCAGTCCTCCGACAAGCAGCTCTAGTCTTCGGCCGCGTCTTCTTTGATCCTTTGGATAAAATTTTGCTTACTTTTGTACACGATTTCGTTCAGAATGTTCTCGTCATATACAGCTGGACTTTTTTTCACGTGGTTGATGACATGCATTCTTTTCCAGCTTGCGGCTCTCTCGGATCTTCGCACGAAGGCGGTAATCGGATCCAGTACACAATGACGGGTCTACCGATGTGTACGTACGGAAAGAGGAAACTACCGATGTTTCAAGTAGGCACCATCTTCTGTTTGTTAGAATATGGCGGATCTCTGCATGACGGCATTTTTTCAGACTTTCGTACCGTTAGAAGACTCTCATGTCTAGCGATGACTTTCTTTCTTCCGGGAAAGCGAGTTTCCATGGGAGAGACGTACTGCAGACAGGAGTCCTGCAAGACAGTTTCCATTCTCATTTCTTTCTCCTAATCCAAAATTTCCAAACCTATTCTGGCGTTGAAGTCTCCGACAACAAATTTATAGTCCGTCTTATCATTGCGGATGACTTCCTCTTACTGACAGTGGAACGCATTTAATTCGTCCTCATCATCAGCTGTGTCAGTCGTTGAGTAGCTATTGATGATTATGATAAACTTATGACACATCAGTTGAAGACGGCAGACGGCCATGCGTGGGGAGAGGATCTCGTTTAGATGGACAATGGACGGGTAGACAAAAAAGGCTACACCACAGACATTTCGTGACGGGGAGTCTCCTCCGCGGATGACAAGAGTCCGTTGTTCAGCTGGCGTATGTCGGTCTTCCTTATTTTTGTTACTTGAAGTGTGATCACATAAAATTTCATGTGATTTGTGGCTTAGAAGGGCGTGAAGATCGGTGTCTGTGGACACCATTCTGGCATTATACGTGCAATGTAAAAAATAATCTCCACGGGGTGTCGTGGGTGTGCTCGTCAGATCTGGTTCCAGTGACGTCCTGCGTAACCCCACATTTTGTGGCTTTTCACTGGTCGTCTCACCGCCTGGAGTCATAGACGGGAGCACCCAGTATGCGGAGTACTGAGGCTAGCTTATTGCTGGTCGTGCAACTTGGTCCTCTCTGGAGTCCTTACTTAGCCTTGCAAGAGCCTATCAAGATCTTCACCATGATGTGGATCTGAAGGTAGTAACTTTTCGACAACTGTTTTTCATAACATTCAAGAGAATCATGAACGTAATCCCGAATTTATCGCGAATTTAGATTTTTTCAGGTCTTGCGAAGACACTGTTGCCATCGGTTTGTCTAACAAAAGCCACAAAAGGAATCCTGCCTCGAAAACACTCGAGGTGCTACGTCATCATGAAATAATCACCAACTTATGCCTTAAAATGCGAAACGCTAGAGAATTGGCAAAAGAGCTTAGTGAGAGAACTACTCAGTGAAGCTCCAAAGGTCTAGATGAGGATCTATAGTGATCGACAAGAGTTCGCAAAAGGCAAGAGAACAATTTTGGCAATTCAATGTCCAGACAGAAAATCATTAAGTTCACGAGAAAGGCGGAAAAAATTCCTAACGAATTCTTCTCCGAATTCCTCTACATTTTCAAACTTTACATACCAGAGTAAAAGATATTAAATCAACAAAGAACTAGCATGAGCGTTGTTGCAGAAGATGATAGGCACACCTGCGATCAGTACTTATTATCAGAACTGCCTACTGCTTTCCATCTACAACCTCTTCAATTGAGCCACCTTCAACAACATTGTCAAAAAAAATCGATTATTGATTTTCATCCGAGAAAGTTGAATTTCGAAAACGTTTGGAAAAATGGATCACATTCATACGAAGGTGAAACTTATTGACGTATCATCGCAACACAAGAAACAGCAATATATTTTAAAATCCAACTTTCATTAAACTTTGGTACAGAGGATCGATATTCTGTCTCATTCCTAGGCTTATCATAGATTGGCATAAAACTCTCATTTAGTTAACGTTTTGGCTCCGCCTTCTTCAGAGTCGCGTTGATCCGAGTCGATTGCCCACAGCCGGTCGTTGTCCGAGTGTGAGCCTTTAATCAAGTGAAGAAAGCGAAGGCGCTGAAATATTAGGTGAATAAGAATCTTATATTTTGAAGACACAATAAGACATTGATTATTCGTGCCAAGGTGTAATGAAAGCCGGATTTTAAAAATCTATTGCTTCGCTTTCTGCAAGCTGTTACAAAGCCGAATGATGCATGCATTGCCTCTAAAATTGCAGATAATATTGAATGGTATCGGAAACTTCGGAATTGAGCCGAACGTTTCTTTGCTTTCTTTACCTCACTTCATGCTATTACAAATTCGCAAGGCTGGTCGTTCCTTCTCTGTTGTTAAACTTTAATAGAGCTTTGTTATCAGCAATGTGGAGGAGGGACGCTGGTCATTGAACTCCAAACACGTATTTCTCTACCTATCATTTTCAAAACGTCTTGTAAATATCTTTGCCGGTATGTTTTATCTTTGTATCAGTTTGTAGAGTTGGATATAGACTAGATGAGCTGAACGGTTTCGCCCTGCTTTCGTCTGCTCAGAGCTAACGGTCGCCCTGGAATAAATGAAAGATTTTGAACTATATTTGCTGCAGACTACCTCAGACATGGGTGATTAAGCCTTATTATGTACAATCCATTAATGCAACAATAATGATATAATCAAATTTACAGACAAAGGCGATGCGAGGAAAATGCAATAACTGTGTGGATGCCGTAATTAACCATTAATTCAAGATATCACTACTTATCATAGATAGGCAGACGAAAAAGATCAGAAAGAGTTTTAGGGTTTGTAGATGTTGATATGTTATAAGATTATAAACATTTTTCAAGAAAACTGTAAGGCAAGACTTAAACCAGCTGGTTTTCCCACATGCCATGACGGGATTAGAGAAGTGCCGTTGAAAGACAAGAATAAATGAAGCAATAGATGTCTGATGTTGTTGTTTGATGTTTGTCTATATCCAACTCTACAAACTGATACAAAGATAAAACATACCGGCAAAGATATTTACAACACGTAATGAAAATGATAGGTAGAGTAATACGTGTTTGGAGTTCAATGACCAGCGTCACTCCTCCACATTGCTAATAACAAAGCTCTATTAAAGTTTAACAACAGAGAAGGAACGACCAGCCTTGCGAACTTGTAAGAGCATGAAGGTGAGGTAAAGAAAGCAAAGAAACGTTCGGCTCAATTCCAAAGTTTCCGATACCACAATTCATTTTGCCTTAATATACGCCTCAAAAACAGATACTACGTAAGCAGGATGAAACATCGAGCAGTGTTATTGAACGCGCTACCGAGAGGATGATGCTCGGACTATAATTCGTCATTCAAGTAAAGGAGGAAACTAAAGTTCAAGTGAGCTTTCGCCATTAAAAATCCAAGAAACTACCATTTACCTCAAAATGTTAAAAATCGAGTGCGCAAAGCGTGATCTGTTTTGACGACAACTGGCGGTCAGGATCCGCTGACAACTGGTTTCTAGAGTTCTTAGGGGTATAACAGGAGTGGTACCGACGCAGTAGTAATTTATTTTTCCCATATTGTTGACCGGTACTCTCGACTGGTTTCGCATTTGCCTTTCTCTCTAGAAAAGTCACCATTCGGAGAATAAAATTTAACGATAGCTGATGTTCCTTTTCGAGTAGGCATATGCGTCTGTTTTGAAAATGGATCCCAAAAAATCCCAACAAATCTTAGGCATTACGAAACGTCGCACATGATTCACCCTATTCTGACCTCCTACCCTCCACACCTTGCCGATTTAGAGGCCACGATCGCTATATGCCACATTCCTTGCGTGAACACACTCTATGCATGCCATAGTAGTAGATGGTGGGCAGCGCAGTAGTTAGTGATGCAGTCGATCAGGAAGCAAGGTCCTGTTTAGACCCCTTCCTTAACCTCTCCTCCAATTAACACCGGAGCGCCTCAGTTCTGGGACCAAGGAGATTCGGCTCGACCGGCATTCTACCACATTCGTAAAGAAAACGAAGCCCTCAAGCAGCAGTCAAGACAACACGCGAAATGTTCGAGGACCATCGTTTACAACGAACGTGGGGAAACTGAATCGAATAGAAGAAGTGGTGAGATCCGCACAGTAGGTGTGATGACTGGTCACGTAAGGTGAAAAGATTGTGTGCTAAGAAAATGTTAACCTAATTGGCAAAGGTCTACAGATTCCAGTGGTTATATTTCTTATCCATAATATCTTGTTTATAGTATCTTATATATACATATATGTATATATATATATATATATATATATATAT